TGCTACCCCTACTCCCATCTTAGGAGCTGTTCAGAACAACGTTTCCCTGAAAAGGGGGTAGCAAATACAAGTTCACAGATGAAAATGGGGGGATCCAAAAGCAGACTCTACTAAAGTGGACTTAGGTAAATTCCTGCCAGGGACTAAAGTCATACCAAAACCAAGAAGCCTGAGAGACAAGCTCATGAAACACCCAGTGCCACCGGTAACCTTTTGACAGGACTTCTTGTTAATAAGCTCCTACCTCTCATGAGAACTGTGGCTACCACGTGGCAGCTGCTTAGCACAGCACAATGCTGATCTTATTTAGGGACACGTAGGGCATCACTACCTGTACTAGCACACAGATCCCACCCAGCTACACTGCTGGACCTAGAAATAACACTCATCCCCTTCTTCATGTGAGGCTTCGTTCTGAGTCCTGGGCTCCACCCTGAAGCACTGCAGGCAAGGAGAAGGAGCTGAAGCTTGCCCCTGCCTCCTGCTTGTCACTGAAAAAAGACGCTGAAGCGTCTGTTGTTGCCATAGGAATAGGGATGGTGAGCGCTGGGAGCAGGAGTACCAGCACAGAAACTGCCTTCCTGCACAGCTACTGCGAGTTACAAGAGTTTTTTTTACAAAACAATGTACAGAGCTCCCACACCCTGCATTTTGAGACAAAGCAGTTCATCTGCTACTGGTCTTGTTTGCTTCCACTGCATTGTAAGACTCTTCAGTGCACAGGGTATCTGTTCCTAATGCAGTGCTGATTTTCTGTTTCACCAAGAGCATAATTTTGACTGATTAGACACAGAAGAGGCTGAATCTTGAGGTCTGTATTTAAACATTCTTAATACTAATGCATATTGCATTGCAACGGGGGCCACACTCAACAGTGTACCCAGCAGGATGCAAATCAAATTGGCTAACTGCTTGTACACCTGTTTTCAGAGAAAACAGCAGGAAAAGCTGGCAAAGTTCACATATGCCCATTGTCTGTTATGTCCTAGCCACAGAGAATACTGGCCAGTCCCGGAATTTCCACAAAGAAAAGCTTACAGCTGGAAAAGGGGAGGGGGGAGAAACAGAAATAGGCACTTCCAACAGCTGTTGGAAAAGTCTAAAAATTTATACTAGCAGAGATGCAAGGAACAAATATGGATTACTAGCACCTCTTGGGATAACCGTGAATTAAAATATATTAATTTTCATCAAAGCTTTCCTCTATTGGAGAGTGATTTCCTTCTGGTTCCCTTCTCACACACAGAAACAGCAACAGAAACAGCCCCAGGGAAGTCCAAGCAGTTATACCACGTTGCTATAAGCAAAATGATAATTAGACCCCTCTACAGTTTTCACTCAGTTCTCTGACACTGTGATTTTCTCCATCATGAAGAGAGATAGTTTCTTTAATGGGTAAAATCTGTAAGAAGGAGAGGGACAATGTGTCCCAAGGGTAGCAGAAGTTGATAGATTAAAAAATGTCACTAGGAGCTGAGCAAACACAAAGAAAGCAAGACAAAGCACTGGAAAAATGTTTCATATAACTTGTGTGCTTAGGAAAAATCCTCAATTACTTATTGACAATGCTTCTATAATTATAAATAAGCCCTTTGCCTAGACAAAAGTCAAGTTTTTCTCACTTAGAAGTCATTCAATCTTCTTGGTATGTACACTCCTTTGCAAAACAAGTGTGGTACGACACCACAGAAGTCTCAACACAGGGCAGAGCATTTTTTGATGTTTCAAATTTGCTTTTCATTTCAAATATACTTTCCATCCTTACATGATCCTAGGTGGGCCTTCTCACCAGAAAAATACTCCACGTCTCCTACAGTCTCTTGTAGTCCTTAAAAACGGTAAAAAGAAGGTCTCACTCCTAAGTAATTCCATCCAAGTTTAATCCCAGTGTGACACTCTGCTGGAGATACAGATGACCCAGTCTTGTAAAGTCTTCTTTTCGTGTATCCCCAAGAGGCCAATGGGGTTCTGCCTTGCCCAGACGTGCGCTCCAGTTATAATGTACAGGAGAAAATGCCTAAATAAGCAGGACTGCAGACACACAATGAAGTGAGAAAACTAACTTCTAGTCCTCTACAATAAACATGCAGAATCACAGTTAAAAGGCCTATGTATTGAATTAGTTAAAGAAACCCATAGCTCAAAGTCCAGACTCAAGATCTGGATGTGAACCACAGTAGAAATCTGCCGACGACCTTAACGAGAAGTTCATCTGAGACATATGATGGAGAAAAAAAGCACTGCAGTCACCCATATGACTCACAGTATGTTTGTCCCCAAAAGATAAGGAGAAATCCTGAAAAAAACAGAGCCACAAGAATGATACCACTCTCTTCCTAAAAGAAAATGCAGAACGGTTTCATCTAGTATTCATAAAATCAGCCAATAACTTAATCAGGGTAGAGTACGTACCAAATAAGTTAAAAGAAACAATTATATGCTCAGTTTCAGCAGGACTGTACTCCATCCTCATCACCTCTATAGTTCTCATTCTATTTCTGTGCTTTCAAAAGACTTGAGAAAGCGTTAACTACGGAGTTTCATCTACAGGTGACATTAGCCACCACTTCACAGGTGCTTTTCTTCAAGCCTGTGTCAACAGCAAGGACACAAAGCCAGAGGCCACACACACACTGTCAAACAAGACAATGGTTGGCAATACTGCAGTATTCAACCATTTCTTGCCTCCAACAGAAAGACGGTGGTAGGAAATTATCCTTGCCTTGCAGAGCTGCCACAGAGCTGTAGTGAGGAGTGACAGAGGTGACAGTCTACTGGTGCTAAATAGACAGATAGGAGAAAAGATGGAGGAGATAGAAAACAGGAGGATGCATGCAGAAAGGAGTGAAGAAGGAAGTTAAGAGAACTGAAGGGTGAGGTGAACAAACATACTATACTATGCAATTTTTTAACAAGACAATAGAAAATTGCTACTGAACAATACAATCCCCTCGGAAATTTAACTTTCAAAGATAATTGTGTTTAACTCATGGGACCATGGAATGTTTTCCAGGAATACATTCATTAGCAACCTTCAGGGTGCCAGAGTGGTGACAAAAAGAACAGTAGGAAAATATAAATTTAAATGTTGACATTTATCTTTCACTCACTCCACTGACGAGTAGACTACATTAAGCAATAGAGAAGATGCTGAAGCTATTCTAGACCAGAGTGATATTTTGTTCTCATTTGCACAGATTCAAATCAGGAGAGAAATTAACTAAAGAAATAAGCTAGTAGGGGTATTAATTTCCATACACACTTATTTGTGTGTAATATATGCCATGTCCTTCCCCCTACTTTGCTATTTTTAGTTTGAACTGAGCATAGTCTCTTGCCTAGTACCTCTGTGATTCATATCTCCTTGTGCCTCCAGAGACAAATATATCTAAATATATTTTAGAAGAGCGCTTCTTTCCACCAGCTCTGGAGAACAGTACAAAGAAAAATCATCACTTAACATGAAATCCCCTGCAAACCACATAGCTAGGAGAGCTGTGCAGAGCAACCTCAAGCTTGTGGCTGGCCTGGGTCTCTATTTCAGCGTGTTTGTCAGCAGTAGAGTCTATAAGTCAAGCAAGTGATTTTCACATAGCTGGAATTAGCCATTATGTTCAAAAGCATTTCTCTGGATGCTAAACAAGTGTTTGTTTCCTGGAATAACCACTTATGGAGCATCCAGATTAGAAAGTACAAACATATTGGCTAAATTGAATTAAAGGCAGTCAGCCACTCCAAATTAAACACTCAAATGAAGATATTTCCAAATACAGCAGCAAATAACTGAGCATCACACAAATGGGGTAGCTTCACACTGAAAACACAGGACTGAGAGCTATTAGATCTTAGTCTCCTACTTCTGCTGCTTGTCTCTTCCTTTTGATCTCAAGTAAATTATTCATTGTCAAGATTTACATTTCCCCAGATTCAAAAAGAGGCAGTTAGACTCACTGGTTTTAAAAAGCAGTATTGCAATAATTAATTCATTGTTCTTTGCAGAGCCCTCTAAAATTATTAGATGCTGCTGCAAAAATGCATATTATTAGTGCTATTATATTCCACTAGAAATTCCCAAAATAACTCTATCTTGGATGAATTTATAGTATTCTAAATTCAGTAGTATCTTGAGTCTTGAACCAGCATCTTTTCATAAAGGTGTGAAATGAAGGAAGGAAAACAGTCCAGTTGTGAACATAACAGAGTTTATCTTTGCACTATTCTATGCCCATCATTTCTTTCAGCACTGTACTATACAGACACACACAGAGCCATAATGACAGCAAGCATGTGGAAGGGAAGATCAATCCAGTAAGCTCAGTAGTGAATGGCAAGGGACCATCGTAAATTCTGCTGATGAAACCAGTGGCCTAACTTAAGCCACACTATAAATCATACAATTCTTTAGAAAAATAGTAAGGAAGATTTTTTTTTTTTTTTTTGAACTGGCTTTTTCAACACTCAACAAAAGATTTTAACTCAATGGTTGGAAAAATGGTCTTCTTTTAAATTATGTTGTTTGCATAATATTGAGACATCTCTTCGACACTCAATTAATTGGGTCCATTTGCTTATATGAAGGCAAAACATAACTATATCTGCAGCTGGAACTGCTTTTGCTGCAAGTGCAGACTGGACAGATCTACACAGAAATGACCAGCCAGATGTTTAATACTCAAGGCTGTACCTGTGCTCAAATGCATTTTCAAGATACTTGTATCAACAAATTAAAGGTACAATTACAGATTCCTGTCTCAAAAAACTAACTTAGTAAGTCTATGTGTGAATCAGAGTGACAAGTGATGATATTTAACTTGGTACGTTATCATATTTGCCTAATGAGAACAACAGGATGAATTAAATTTTCATTATCAGTGGAAGCCGCAGTTTTGAGGGAAACTGATCTTAACAAGTGACCATTTTACTTAACAACTTTTTAAAAGGTGTAGTCTATAACATATCAATGCAACCCAACTGACACCTCTAAATGCCCCATTCGTTACCTGTTGGTCATCTGGAGTCCATATTCCACAGGTGATCTGACTCTCCAAGTTTATTTCTGAAGACCAGTGTCTTTGTCCACTGACTGAACCGACCAGCACAAATCCATCTCTATAGGAGATAAGTGCTTGAGTCCCATCGTGGCTCCATGTAAAGTCGCTTACCTTAACATATCAAAGACAAGAAAATAGATATATGGGCAATGTAGGAATATTCTGTTGTTTTAACAAAAGGTAACACTGCACAGAAAGAGACAGGGCAACTATTAACCCAGCTGTAGCTATGATGTCACGTCTATTAGAGAAAGCAACTGTGCTTTTGTGACAATTCTTGCATATTCTCTTCAACAAAGAAATGTTTCGTTTTCTCCTGTGCTTTTTGGAACGTATGAAGCACCACTGATTGTCTTCTTCATTTTGCCTCTCAGGATGCAAAGAACTGCATCAAAGAACTGCAGAGAAAACATGCATACCAACCTGTGCCCCACGGTCATTCACAAGCTCCACAGACCATCTGCCTTCGTATTGTATCCAAACAAATATTCCTCCATCTGCATCGCAGGTTGCTAATTTCTGGAATGGTTCGTTCCATCTCACCAGCACAACCTTAGAAGATTGCAAACAAAAACAGCATTACCCAAACTGCATGTTGTGCTAACAGCTATTTAACAAGAACCAGTTAAACAATACCGCCAAATAAACATCATCGCATTTAAATCCTAAAGATGCACAAAATAGCAATTTTCAGCACAGCACCAGGCGCCTCTCAAGAACAGCTGGAATCGTTTTGTCATGGTTGTCAGGAAATGCACAATCTCTCACTGTCAGACCTTTTTGGAAGGCACTGCACGCTTCCAATAAAATCATACTGTACACTGGAACGCAGCACTCCATTACAGAAGCAGCAAACAGGAGGCTCTGCACAGACCATCCAACACTCCTTCAAATTATTCCCCCCACTGACTAATCTCAGAGACAGTCAGACTCTACGTCAAATCATCACCTCTTGGTGACTTCAAATGAAGTTGCATGCACCGGTATCAGAGCAAATTTAAATACTCCTATTGAACACATATATTCAAAAAAACCCCTCCGAGAGTTCCACATTATTAAAAAGAAATTTCATAGGAAAGTTGCTTTGGTGCTGCATGAAGAAGGAATACAAAGCAGTTTTAGGCTCTTCTCTCTGCATTAGAACTATCTCAGCTTTTCTGGAGAATCTAATCAAGTCTAAACCTACCAAACTGCTCTCTCATTTTTAATTAATATCAATTTAACAAATACAGTATCTCTTGAGACCTCAGTATAAACCAGAAAAAAGCATGTCATCCCAGTGCCTGAAGCAAAATTAGCAGTAAAACCATTTACCTTCTGTTGGTGACTTTTTCTTAACAACTTTTTTTCCCAAAATTAGTTATATTTCAAAAATATGTGGATATATATGGGATGCTTACATTCATACACAAGTAAATTCCCCCCAAGCTATTTTACTGAGACACAGTGTATGCAAATAATACTCAATCAGTAGTGTTAACTACTTAATAAGCATTCAGATCTAATGACACTTTTTCATAAAACTATACAGATAATTAATCATCTAAAAGAGATAGGCAAGATTTTCCTGCAATATATTTTGCTGTTTACAGAGAGGGACTGATCTTCCTAGAGATCCCAGTCCTAGGACGAGCTCTAAGTAGAGAGACTCTTTATGCTTCACAACAAAACTAGCAGTCACTTTCAGAATTAGGATATAATACACACATATACATAAAATCTAAACTTGACAGCTGAGGATTATCTTACACTTTTTAGTGAGTGCTACACTTATTCAGAGGGTCAGTACTTCAAAACGTGCCTATCAGTGGAACTCACCAGCCTGAAGCATCAACCCCTGAATGGTTAAGTAATCACAAGAAAAGCATTTTTTTGTTGTTCATATGCAAAGATTACAGGGAGAAGCAAGTATGACAAATCACCTCTCTGTTGTTATGCAGCTTAGAAGAATCCCATTTGAGATTTTGCAGAAAAACACTTGCCTCTACTTGATTATAACCTTGCAGCTGCACTCCAAGCCACCAGTACCATTTCCAGTTGGGCAGATTATACCATGCCCCTAGATAGATTATATCACACAGAGCTTTTAAAAATATTATTTTATTGGAAAGGCAATAAATAAAATATTCCACCATAGCAATGCAAGCAGATGTACTTTGTTGGAGGTTTTGCTCTGTCCCTTCCATCTAAATAAGAATAGCACAGATTTACTGAAATTTTGTTTTCTTTTTGGTGTAAATCCTAATGCAAAGAGCCATAATTTCATCCACCCTGAGGCAAAATGCAACAGCGGTATAACTGTACTTGCCAGAAATGCCTAACAGTATCCATTTATATGAAAGAAGTGAAGAAAAACCCAAGGATAACACTGAAAAATTTTCTTTAAAGGCTGGGAGCTGCCAAGGCTAATGATGACTATTAATAAGTGTAAGGCACTTACCACTGCTAAAAACCAGACCTTTAAATGCTTAGGCACTGCTCACATTGGATACTTCATAGATCATACAGAATGAATTGCAAGACAAAATATAGGAACAAAAAGAAAACTAATTTTTCAAGTACCAGGGGCTTTTTAGCTAATACCGTTGAAATTTTTAGCTAACGCCTTAAAATCGCCAGACAAAACAGAGATGAGCATACAATTTTACAGATTAGACATACCAGTTGATGTAGTAATATGAATTATGGGCAAAGTGACAACAGTTACTTTGTTGCAGTTTATTGCTTTTCTATTTTAAATAGGAATTCTGTTGAAACTTGAAAATTGTTATTCAAATTCTGTACAACCTGTCTTTTGTTTAGACTTGATAAAACATTCAAGGGTACATTTGAATGTAAAGATTAGCTATAGCCTCCCTCTATTGCAATTAGATACAAATTAGTAACTTCCAAAATAAACTTACTGTTTTATAATCAGAAATGTGAGACAATGATTTTATATGGCTTCTGATAACAGTCTCATAAGGAAGCAAATTTGTAATTTGAAAATTCAACTCCTTTAAACACAGAGTAAATGTTATAATTTTATGAGGTCAATTTAAAGATGCTGCCGTAATTTATATCTAACATCTAACTACAGGTGCGGCGTTCACAACTGCTTTGAGCATTTCCAGTTTCATTTTAGACACTTGGTATACTGAAGAAGATATAAAGAAAGGAAGGATTGCCTTTTGACTTTTATGTTGGCTAAAATGTAAAGCATATGAAAACATGTCCCATTGATAGCACACTTAAATAAAGCATAAGCTGGAATTACCCCTCTGCAAAGAGGAATTTTACTGCTAACCCATAAATGCAAAGATATCATTACTTCCACTAAAAGCTTCAACTCACAGAGGACCCATTTTTACTTCTGTCTTTATGGTCTCTGCTTCCTACTTAACATCTTCACACAGGTACTGAAGAACTGAACTGTTGTATCTTGTATTCAAAGGAGTAAGAATGCTGGTGCACAAAAGTAAGTTGTCTGTGGACAATATGTGGTCCACACAGCCTTCTTATATTGTCTAATTATTTTTTATTTTTGTTTGTTGCCTGGTTGTGGATTATTTAAAATTCTGTAAGAATTGAAAATTGTGTTCATTCTACTGTTGGAAAAAATGTATCACAGATGTTAATCAGTTTCTAAACTGCTTTCTCATAATAGGATATTATCTCCCATTAATAAAATTTCAAGGAACTCCTGGCCTAATACATTAAGTACATTATGAAGGCCAACATAATGCCCTCAAAAATGAGCTTTTGAGTCAGTCAGTCTTATGTTTTCTTTGAGCTTCTCTGTATACAAGAAATCGTGGTGAACAATTTGTTTCAGAAGTGCAGCATTCAGAATCTTCAATATATCTCTGTTTTAATTGCCAGTGATTTTCAGAAATTAAATTTAATTAATCCTAAACGTGCTAGAAACTCTACCCAAGAACTAATGACATACTTTAATTTTGCTAACACTATTACTATATATTAAGATTTTAGACTAGAAATTTTGAGTAACTGCAATTTTTGGAGTAGCAAATATGTGATTTATAGTAAACATGACCTCTTCCCAACCCAAAGTCAGGTTTGATAATCTGAATTTATTACATCCTATTGAAACTTTTATTAATTTCTTTCACATTTTCTAACACAACACAAACCCGCCAAAATCCAATGCATTCTGAGAGCCTTTGTAATTCCTAATTTCATTGTAGTTTTAGAAGGAGATGATAGAAAATATGATACCAATCAATCTTCAAAGAGCAGAAGTCCTTAATCTAGAACACCATATAACAGTCATTACTGAAATCTTACTTCTGTACATATAGTACATAATTGCTATAAAAGCAAGGGATAAACATCTACAAAAAATAAAACGGCTAAGTAACTAGGGCAATTAGTTCCTAGAGTTCCCTACCAAATTTAGATAGATTTTATTACAGATACACTGAAATGAGTCATAGTGACTCATTTATTCAAATCTCTGATCCTCCATCCATTTTACTGGGGAGCAGGCATATGCTCTAAAGATAAAGGTCTTCTCCAGCATTCATTTTCACGCACACTGTGGAGATGTGCTTGCAGATGGACTATCACAGCAACTGAGTAGAGAATACCTGATGCCAATATTTGATTACAGCACAATTTCCTACACCTGGAGGGCCACATTCCTTTATGTGGCACCAGCATTTCTGAAATGACAAGTAAAGTAGACATTTTTACAGGATGCACAAGATGTGATGCATTATAACTCCACTGAGCATATGGAATTGCTGGCCTTTCCCCCCAAATAAATCATACTACATTTCTAGTGCTATTGAAAATCCTGAAATAATTCTGCGTTCCAAGCAGCAACAGCAAAAGGTCTAACTGTTCCTATGACACAATAATAAAGGAGATTAGTCTATTGCCTACACTATCAGAGTATAGAACTCAGTCCATCTGAAGGCATCTTTTCAATCCTGCGCTTTTAGGAAAGTACTTAGGCTTTTAAAGGAACACATAAGGGTTGAGAGAAAGCATTGGCAAAAGGAACTGGACAATCTACCTAGAATCACTGAGCATCACCTATTTGCTTTATCAAGCAGTCCTATTATGCAATTCCCCAGTAAGTAGATTGACCTTCACTCGTGGTTACAGGTATAGAAAAATGTGTGCATATACTACATGCAACATATTGGTACACGTTATGGTTTATTAACAGCCACAGAGCTGAAGGAATGTTTAAATATATCTATCAAAGAATAAGGATGAGTATATGGTGGGAAACAAAAATGAAACATAGAAGTACAAGAACCAGAGAAAACAATAACCACTTTTACATGCTACTACAGTTCAGTGCCTCTCTCTTCATAATACAGAGAGAGATTATACAGATATACGTATATACATGTATAATGGGTATACGCATTACATACATATAACATGGGCATGTGCATGAATACACATCCCTACTATATCCTTGAAGGAACCTGTGCCAACTTTGTACATTTGTTAGTTAAAGAACTGAAGTTAGTTAACTGAAGTGGATTTTTATAACTAGAATATAATTTGAAAGTTACAACAGGTGCCCAGAATAA